CCTCCTCCTATTTTGTGGACGAGTAATGAGACAGCAAAGGATGTATAGTTTTCGTCTTGTAGTATTAGATTTGTATATTGTTTCAGTTTGTGACTACTTGAATTTCGAATTGTGCCGCGATCTAAACTTTAGGATCAGCCTTTTACGTCGATAAACAGCTAATGTTGTTGTTTGCGTGCAGATGATGTATTAAAAAAATGATCATGTCAGTGCACGATTTGGGAAAAATTAAATTAGCTGCCCCCCTCGATTAAGCGCCCCTCTCGAATAAGCGCCCCCCGTCTTCTCCTAAATTTGAAATAAGTGCCCCCGGCGCTTATTCGAGGATTTACGGTAACTCCCGAATGTGGCAAATTTCAAGCGTCAAAAAATAGTCAAACCTGTTGCGCAGATTTAGGTCACGTGAACAGTCTGCGCAACACGCATATCTAGAAATAACTTAAGAGGAATTACCCTGACAACAGGGGCGGGGGACCAATGTATTAAAAAGTCTACATTCGCGAACCAAATCGGCCATCGGGCCGGCGCTTATCTTCAGTTTCAGTAGCATGAAGCGATTAGCAGTATTTCTACTCCCCCCTGAATGCGATGCTAGCCATCGCTGGTTTACCCCCTGCATTAAATTCGCCATTCATATTTATACACCTGAGTGGAGAGCAGGCTCTATGAGAGTAAAGTGTCTTGTCCAAGAACACAACACAATGTCCTCGGCCAGGGCTCGAACCAGGACCGCTCGATCCAAGAAAAATACAGACGTAGTAGTTATTTTTGTTTTCTTCAAGCAATAATTTCCTCCAATACGCAGTTAACAGGTTTTGATTTAATGAATTTAATAACCCTTGAAGTGTTCTAATGGCTCTGCTTTCTTTACGCAGCTGTGCAGTTTCGCCGGTTGTTACCTCCACCACCTGCGACACCGACTCAGAGGACAGATTTGGATTTGATATTTTCCGATACCCTTATCAAAGTACCGGTGATTATGTTTACCTCAGGGCTGCGGTCATTGTTTGCCTATCATCTAATAGTGCCTCCGTCTGCCAAACTGAATGCACTGCCTGCAGTTCAGTACGAAAGAGACGTGAAACTCTTGAGCAAATCCAGCGAACAGAATTCTACGTGACAGCAGGTCCATTCCAAATCCGAAAACCCGATCAAGGTTTGTGCTTAAAGAACTCCTGTGCTCAACTAAGCAAAGGCTTTCAAGTAGATAAGATGNCCATGAGAAAATCAACCCATGGGTTTCCTTTTCTTTCCCATATGAGTATGGGGCTCCGCTTGGCGGCCCTTCGGGCCGCCGGAGCTCCGCTATAAAAGTCATTAACCAAAACTGAAATATTTTTTGCATTCGATAACACACTCCAAAACGTTTCCAATAAAAGCAGGCGCTAAAACGGAAAATCAGAATGTCTTAATTCCTGGAAAAAAAATTAGAGCCGATAAACGAAAGCATAATGTTATTTTATCGCGAGGCATTTCCTATGTATTATCAGTTTGCTGGTTGTGTTCTAATCTGGGAACAATGGAAGTCTCCTGTCCAATGAAAAATGGGTGCGTGTCACATTTAAGTACAAAAGGTTGGTTACCTGTACACGCGGCCCTCCTCTATTATTGCCATCATCACAAGAAGAACTTTTCTGCTATTTAGTGTTTAGACGTATTTGTTCTTTCTCCCTCCACCTCCCCGGTCTCCGTCCCGCAGACTGTCAACATATCTTATGTAGTATTTTATTTTAGTTTTTACTTCAGCAAACTAGTGCGACGCCTTGCGGAGCTCTCGATGTCTTAATGTTTGCAAATGACTCAAGATGAAATTTAATTTGTTTCAAATCTAGTTTTTATTCAACGGGGAGAAAACGAAAAACAAAATGTGTCATGAAAGGTCGGTTTGCATGAACGTACGTATAAACCGGTCTATTAAGGATTGAAAAAAGATTAGTTTAGTTTTCGTTCACGGATTCGTCGTAATTCAGTTGTAAACTTTTGAAAATAGTTCTAATGAAAGATTAATCCTTTTGGCCGCAACTCAGTCTAAATATTTTTTTCCTCGCCAAAATCTCTCTAAAGTAGGCGATACAAATTAAAATTCTCTTATCCTCCTTGCTGTACTCTACCTATTATAACCACATTTTTTCTATGAGTTGGAGTGATATTCAGACCTGTAGGAGAACTCACTTTGTTGAAAAAGAACGAACTTTTCTTTAACACCATTTTCGTAAATCCCGTCTAATAGGAAAAATCTAAAGTAATGTATTGTCCATAGCAAAAAGAGAGTAACAAGCAGGAGAGGGGAACAGATTCCTTGCAAGGAACTTCCGAGTTTTACCACGTTAGTTGGTGGAGGTTTTGTGATCAAATCATGTGAAACGCGCCCATTTCGTTTGAGCAAGGCAAAATGTGTGAAATATAAGCTAATGTATAACCTGAAAATAAATTCTTCGTGTATTACACAGGTCAACTTGCAACCTTGCGAAATATAAACTGCAGTGACGCCTCATCAATCAGTTTTGTGATCTACATACCTGATATTGATGAATGGGAAGGTTCCACTGACGAACGTTCTTGGAGTTTAAACGATACACCAGATGAAGCATGTGAGCCGACATTTGATCAAAGCAATCGCGTGGTATCGTACTCCAATATTAACGCTTCAGTCTGTGTTTCCGGCGGCCCGTCTGTAACTCCCGACAGTAGCAAATTTGAATACAAATTTGAAATTTCCGTTGATGCAATAGCTGGCTCCACCATCAATCCTGTAACGTTCGCTTATGACCACGACTACGTCGTCAAGTGCTTTTACAACAGGGAACAGGAAGACATAATGGCGTCTTTTGAACCCCTTCATTCATTAACAGACAGTGGCTCAGGTAAGTCAAAATCAATAAACTTGAATAGCAACAAACTACTTTTGTGATATTCCAGCTTCTCTCCTGCATGATTTCATCTTTCTATGAGGTGCTCCGTTCAATCCATAGTACAATTTCCGCGATTTTCAAGACCGACAACATTTTTAGCTTTTATCCACGATATACACTCTATTAGAAGTCTCTGAGCTGTGTTCTATTGGAAATTCGCAAATCTGATCGGTTTTTTTATGGGTGGTCTTTTCGTTGGTAGACAAAGGCCGCGCGCGCGCTGGTCGTAAAATTGAAAATTATTCCTCATTTTGGGCTTAAATATACAAAAAAATTGTAAGTTTTGTGCTGTGATCCTTTAGAGTGTCTACTAAAACAATAGACTACTTCTCCTCGTTTTCTATGAGCAATAGTCAAGTCGGCCACGCTTCGTTGACTATTCGCTCTTAGTATAAATCTACTGGCGTTCTATCACGAATGGCGTTCTCTGATTGGTTACGCTACTCACTATCTATTCTGTGATAGATAGTGAGTAGCGTAGCAGTGTGCGCTTGTTAACGAAATGACTGCCGCATCTTGGCGTTTTCGAAGTGTCTGTGAAGAGGATTTAGATAAAGCTTTGAATGACTTATAGATTTATACTAAAACAATTTGATTCTTTGCTCTCGATTTCTATGCGTGATAGAAATCTCGATCTCAGAATCTAATTGTTTAATAGAAAACTCGATCTGGCTAGCAGTCTAGTCGTAGTCGTAGACCACAGAAATGACGTCATAAAATGCTTAAAACAGTAAGCTATTTGTCTTCTTTTAAAAAATGCAACAATTAGTCATTTTGATCAGTTCTTGAACGGGAGTTATCTTTTCTCAAGTAAGCCCTGGCATTCCCCTGCAGGTGCCGGTAGCAGATTTAATCAGCCAGTGTCAAGTTACAATACAGTTCTACGACACAAAAATGCCTTTTTTTATAATCTTTGGTCTTTAAGCTTTCTAAAAATGTATACATTGCCACGGTTTGGAATAAAACCTTAGCCATGAAAAAACGCTTGAAAGAATGGTCTGTTTTCGTGTGTACTCCCTCTTAATAACATCCTCCAACGGTTTCATTAAGCACTAGACCTAGTAATTGCTATAAAACTATTTTCCGACCCATGCCCAGATTTTTTTACCACCCAGACTCGGAAAACTTCCCAGTCCCAGCGCATAAAATTCCATCCCCCCAGTTGTAGAAGGCTTATCCCAGCTAGTTCTCACTTTATCTCTTTACAACCCTCTCAGCCAAGATAAGCTACAAAAACTAATGACTCAACACACCTTCAGTTCACAATATTACAACGTTCGGCCTATTTCTTGAAATATTTTTAGATGTCATTCAAGTCATCATGGATCTTTTAAGATATAATTTTGAGAGTGAAGAGGCGGACGTACGACTTAACTGAGTTCTAATGAGTCTAATGAAGCAGTTCTTAAAACATGCAATACACCAGCTCAAAAGTAGAGTTGTAACAGCAACCTTTTATAAATACATTTGCTTTCCACAAATTGTCCGTTGTCGAGAAAGATCTTGCATATTAGAAGGTTACAATTTAACTGTAAGCCGTTCTTTTTTTTTTTTTTCTTTTTTTTTATTTTTTTTTTTTTTTTATACTTTCATTAAACTTATTCTGTGTCAAGTCGCGGATCGCACACCTCTAAATTTATTTGCTGATGATTTTTATACAAAAATAGAGAATATACACCATTGAAGATGCCGAGTTANTTTTTTTTTTTTTTCTTTTTTTTTTTTTTCAGGCCATAGAATTCTGAATGTGTTCTTCCTTTTCAGATATTGCGGATTTTTCAATTACGCTCACCGTTCACCTCGTCAGTGATGATTCTCAAGTTACTTCCGTCATTGACCTGAGTACTGAAGTATACGGCAAGGTAATGATTACTGATGTACCGGAAAATCTGGATGTTCATTTGCGAAAGGTCGTTGCGGACCTTGATAATGCTCCTGGAGGTCCTTCAGAATATGAATTGATCAAGGACGGGTAAGTATAATCTGTTCATAACATTTGACCATTTTTGCTAGCGTTCTTAATTCAGATTAAACGATTCAAAGACAGCATGAAGAGTACGTGTAAGAGGGTTAATCCTCCATATACGCTCTATTCTTAAGTTAATCCCTTCAGAAGTCATTTTAGGTAACTCCCGGAAGGACAAGTCTCAAGCGTCAAAAATAGCCAATCCTCTGACGTAGATTTAGGTCACGTGGACAGTCCAAATGACCTTACTGCCGCGAAAATATCTGCGTAACACGTGTGGTAACGATATCCGCGGGAAGACTGGATACCGTATCTAGAAATAACTTAAGAGGAGTTACCCTGAGAACAGGGGCGGGGCACCAATGTATTAAAAAGTCTACATACACGAACCAAATCGCCCATCGGGCCGGCGCTTATCTCCAGTTTCAGTAGCATGAAGCGATTAGCAGTATTTCTACTCCCCCCTGGATGCAATGCTAGTCCATTGCAGGGTTACCCCCAGCATTAAATTCGCCATTCATTTATAGACCTGTTTGGAGAACAGGCTCTGTGAGAGTAAAGTGTCTTGTCCAAGAACACAACACAATGTCGTCGGCCAGAGCTCGAACCAGGACCGCTCGGTCCAAAAACAATAGAAACGTAGTAGTTATTTTTGTTTTCTTCAAGCAATAATTTCTTTCTAATGGCTCTGCTTTCTTTACTCAGCTGTGCAGTTTCGCCGGTTGTTACCTCCACCACCTGCGACACCGACTCAGAGGACAGATTTAGGTTTGATATTTTCCGATACCCTGATCAAAATACTGGTGATT